GGTGAGCACGAGAGCGGACGAGCAGGACTATAACGCCACGTACCTGGGCCAGATACTGCTCGATCGACTCGAAAAGATTGCCATCAGCGAAGAATCGCCGCCTCGATTTGTATCCCCCCAGGCGTGGCAACATACCTGTCCCGATGTCTTGCTGAGCTTTCAAGGAGAGCAGGTCCAATTCTGGCATGAAGCAAGCATCTATCCCAACGATACGATCAGCAAGAGGGCATTTTACATCCCCCACGTGGAAACAGGCGACATCAATCCAGGGCCGGGCGACCTCAAGTTGAGCATCGCCAAGTCCACCATGAATTCCAAGATGGAGAGCAAGGGCTGGACCGTCGGCGCAAGGGTTGCCGGGACGTTTGGAGCCAAGGACGGCCCATCTGCCAACGTTGAGCTCTCGGCATCGTACTCGGACACGACGACGACGACAAAGATGCAGACCGTGACGACGTCCCACGACGCGTCCTGCAAGCCTGGCTACGAGTGCAGACTTGAAACGTGGACGTTTCATATAGCTGTTCGGGCTCGAACTCGCCTACTTCCATACTATCAGACGTGGACTGCGGCTGGAGGACACGGTGCCAAAACAGAGACGTGCCAGATGAAGCAAAGCGTCGCAACGTGCGAGCAATTCAGGCAGAGACTCAGAGAATGGTGCGATTATTCCCCCGAGGTCAACAACTACGCCGTAGCTTGGAATACGTGGCACAAGGGAGTGTGGCCGCCCGCGCCGCTCGACCGCACCGAGGATATCGAGCTCAAGCTGCCCATCGCGGAAGCAAACGGGAACCAGCTCATGTCTCGGGTTGTGCTGGTATCGGAGCCCATCATGAGGAAGAAATCGGGGGACGTGCCAGCGGCCGTCAAGGAAGGCACCCAACAGACCATCAAGGAGGCCATGGAGAGAGGTACAAAGTTTCAGGTTCTGGATTCGTCGTCGTCGTCGTCGTGAGACCAACGGCCACGTGCAGCAGGGCGGTTCCCACATTGAGAGTGGAAAGGCCTCTCTGGCACGGCAGCATGGATTCGCATCACTGGCCTTGTTGGCAAAGAGCTCATGTAAAGTATTGGTCGAGTGTCGAGACTAGCCCTCGACCTCGACCTGATGCTTCCGCTTGGTGACGCATCTACGCGAGTAGTAATTTATTATAATGATGAAGAATTTCCCTTTGTAATAAGAACAAGTTAGGTGATTATCAACATGCTGCCGCGGTACCGTGGTCGGATCCAGCCTTGCCCAACACAGTGCTTGGACGCGGCATGAACAGCACCAGACTTGATGGTGGAGGAAGAAATGCCATGTACAGAGCCTCCTGCAGATGGAAATGGCACTGGGGCATGGATGGGTGTTTTGTCACAGGTTTTGTTTTACTCTTCTACGACGCACGCGTCCACACCTTTTAATCACAGTCATCATCATTGTCAATTGACGAGTTGCTTGGATAGGAGACGGTGTACACTGCCAAAAACGTGGGTTGCCGCCGATATATTAAGAATAACACTAAAAAGCTAGGCAGAAAAAAATTATCTTCTTTTATTCTCATCGAGGGATGATGTTGAATATATTAAGAATAACACTAAAGAGCTAGGCAGAAAAAAATTGTCATTCTTTTATTCCCATTGAGGGATGATGTTAATAATATATGGGAATGTTGAACAGACTGAAAACTAGGAAAATTGATCCATCGACGTGCCCCTTCCCAACCCCCACCTCTCCTCCAGAAAGCAGACTCAATGTCTTGTACTCTTATGCCTGGCTATTGCGTGGTTTGCAAAAACCGTCAAGGGAAGTCTGACTTGCGTCAACCTTGGGCGGATTCTTGGGTCGCCCTGGGCCTCGCTTCTTGGGAGATTCGTCCGATTCCAATTCATCGTCGTCCATTGATTCGCAATCGCCATCCTCGGCTTGTTCGCCACTGGCTTCCGTGGCTTGCGGCGCCGCCTTTGTCTGTCTCCGTCGTTTTGGAAGCCTGGCTATCTCGTCTGGCTTTTGAGAATAGACCATCCCCTCCCATGGGTTGTGCTTGACGCCCGTGGAGATGGCTTGTGCCGACAGAAATGCAGCAGCCCAGGCCGGCAACGTTTTCTTGGCGATCGATGCTCGCTTCCACTCGGCCTTGGATGCTGGGTATTGGCAGTTTGTGTCGAAAGCAGCATGGCCTTTTATTCCGCAATTGGGGCAACGCATTTCGGATCTCAAGACCACATGACAATTCTTGGTGTCATGCTGACCAACAGCAGAGCATTTTCCGCACCGCTTTAGTTTGGAGGAACATTGGGAAGACATGTGACTAGGTGCATGGCAGTTGTAACAAAAGATTGGCACAGAATCCTCCAGAATGGGACTGCATCTAATGTTAGAAAACAGGTTGGCTAGGCAGTGGGATACGACAATAGGGCCACAAACCAGACAGTGGCGAGTTGACCGCCAATCCAAAATTTATTCTTTGCCAGGGCTTCTAGAGCCTGGTCTAGGTCTGAGAATGTTGCGTACCAGGTTGAGAACCGCTGAGCGACTTGGGACACAACGACACCATTATCCTTGCGGATTTTTTCGAGGGCTTCCGAGCTTCCATAATGCAGTGCACGACACGGTTGCAACCACTTCAGGCGAAGCAAGTATTTTTCCTCGGAAAGCCTGAGCCGAAGCCCGAGGGCGGCAGAAACGGCATCTACCAATGAGTGCTTGATATGCGGACGTACGGTTCCACGTAAATTGAGGAACAGCAAGCTCCCGTCAATAACAGCCGCGTCAAAGGTACCGAGCGCTCCCTTCCTGGGAGGCTTCCCAAACGTGATGGAGTTGAGCTTAGCTAAGATGGCTTCAGACGACCCAATTTTGCTGGGATCGTAGGGGTCCAGAATTCTGCAATGCAAAGTGTAGAGACGTTTCAAACCCTCCCGCTGTTCGATCCGATCGCGAAGTTTTTGGTTGGCAGAAGGGCCATGGACGGGCTGCACTTGGGACAAGGTGGTCTTGGCGCCGAGCGCGCCTCCTGGTACGGCGTCACGTGCCGCGGCCGCAGAATCGCCATGGGGCGGTTGACTGGGCGACTTGGGAGGGCTTGAACAAGCTTCAACGGCAGCACTGCACGAGGTGGTTGCTGGATCTTTTTGGGTGGGCTTGGATTTCCGGCGGTGACCCCTACGCTTCTTGCGAGGCCGGTTGGAGGAGCTCGAGGCAACTTTGGCAATGGCACTGTCATGCTGAGAGTCTGCCCGAGACCTCTTGGGAGGCCGTTCGACGGAGCTCGAAGCAGCTTTGGCAATGGCGCTGTCATGCTGAGAGTCTGCCCAAGACCTCTTGCGAGATCGTTCGACGGAGCTCGGAGCAGCCGCGGCCTCAGCGTTGCCGCGGTGAGGGCCCTGACGAGTCTTCTTGCGGTCACGTCGAGGCATGGCTACCTTTGTAGGAGAAGGAAGAAAAAGAGTGCTGCAGGGAAAGGAACAATAGATAATGGTACAACGTGATGTCAATTGACACGAGACGGCTTGAGACGACGGGTGGGAAGTGGTAGAATGGTTGGCCGAACAGAAAATGCTTGCTCCTTGATTTTCCAAGTGCACAGAGGGCATCAAGGAGCAGTACATATACATGAAAAGAACGTCTGTAACTAGGACTCTTGCCCGGTCATGTATCCAGACTGTTTAGCCTCCAATGCCTTTGTTGGGGAAGCCCCTTTCTTTGTCTTCGAAGTTGATGGGTCATGTTTTTGAGATTGTCAACAGCAATTTACGGAGTACAAAGTGGATGTCTCTCGTTATCATTGGCGTCATCCCCTGCACGGTCTGCTTGTTTCATGGAAATGTGTTGGGTCAGTCAGATGGTGATTGAAGCTCTGGCCCGATGGTAATAAGATTTGCTTTTCCTGGGGGTCTAGATCAGGGCTGAGATGAGGACCTTCAGGGGCTCCAACAAAGACTTGAAGTCGGGAAGGCCGAAGAAGCAGGTCGCCGATATTATGACATGGGTATTAGCAGGTACAAGGCGAGTCACAGTATGAGTACCTGAAAACAGAACCAATTAGACAAGACTGATACTATCAGCTGAGCATGGTCTAGGCTGTTGAATGAGGGCATGTCTTAAAGAAAAGCAAGCATTATGCATCATTCACGAAATGATGAAAGGATTTGATTGACCGAGTATTCACCGATCTGCCGACGCAGCGGCAAGTTGCATCATCGGGAAGTTGTATGGTATGAGATTGTACCAAGCTAAAGAATAGGAGTAAAAGAACAAGAAATATACCGTCTGTGCGTTCATCGTGGAGAGTAAGGCAGACCAACACAATTGGTCATTCATCGGCCGCTTTGCCTACGCCAAAGACAACTCGTTTGTTGGCATCAGAGTATCTCTTTAGCTGCCCAATGGCTCATGTGGCCTCTTCTGCCAAACAATTTTCTTATGTAACGACATGAGTCTCGACGAGCCATTGGGCAGCTAACATTGAGAGAGATTGTACGGAGTACGAAGTACGGGGTACGCTACCCCCTGTTGATAACTCCCCTGTCAAATGGAAAAGATGATAGGAGTTCGACTACTCCGTACGGAGTACACAGACCAGGGACGAAAACGGATGTGAAAATTTTACCTCAATGCCGAGAATCGCACACTCACTCCGTACACAACAACGAGGAAGACATGGCAAGGCCCGAAGTCGGGAGCAGCATGCCTCAGGCCTTCATGCCTCACCGAATTCTTGTATTTATAGACCACCTTTAGTCCATGGAGTCGTCGCTCTTGCTATCCATCACTCTCAACACTTCATCTCTCATTATCCAGTGTTCAAACTACATCTGCTCCAAGCGTCCGTCCCAGCAGACGCTTTTCCCACTCGCAAACAAGGCCCTGGCCATCGGTCATGGATCGCCCAACTATATCGATATTCATTGCCCGTATTTCGGAATGCAGCAGTCTAGAAAAAATGCGGCTCCCGCAAATGTGAGGACATCCCATGAGAAGACGGCTAAATATAGCTAATGAAACCAATGATATGAAGCAGGAGAGCATACTGTTAAGCGTGGCACAGGTCAATCTGATGAATTCGGGAAAGCGTTGGAAATTCTTCTGCGACCACTTGCTACGTATGAAAAATCCCTGGCATATCATCGCAATTCAAGACTTTGTGCCCGACAACATCGTCTTCCCACGTAAGAAAGTGAGGGAGCATTACAACATCTATTTCCAGCGAACCGGACCAGTACTTCGCGACCATCACCGGATGCACAGAGATGCAGAGCCTGTGAGAAAATTTTGACCCCTCAGCTACAAGTTGTAGCGGAACTCTAGACGTGATGTATCAAACTAACATTGACGCATTTCCCAGTCGCAAAAACGTGCCTGGGGAGGAGCCAAGAAACCGGCTGAGCCATCAGAGAACCCAGACGGAGAAAAAAAAGGCCTTAGTCCACCCCCTGTCAATAACAAAGTTGCCTTCTTGGTCGCCAAACATATCCCCGAAGAAGATTGGCGCGTGACAATGCCGGACTGGGGGCAAGGCATGGTGGCTTCGCTGAATCTCGAAACGCCAGACGGACCCATGAGGATTCACAACGTGTACAATAAGAAACAGGCCGGTACCACAGCCTTCTTTGAACAGCTGACCCTGCACTGCTGCGGCGATAATGACATCCTGATTGGAGACTTCAATCTCCATCACGAGCTGTGGTCGGGTCCTTCGATTGAGCGAAAAAAGGTCAGTCTCGCTGCCAAGATACTCGCCGGCAGAACCCAAGAGGCGGACATGATGATGTGCGTCAAGCCTGGGGCCGCGACATATACCAAGTCCAAGAACAACTCGTACGAATCAACGTTGGACCTCGTCTTTGTTGGCAAAGCATGGTGTAGCCCAGAGCCAGTCTGGTCTGTTCTGAAAGTCACCGGCTTCGACGAATGCGATCATCGCGTTTGTGAAACTTTGATTAATGCCACGCCGAGGGTCGACGTCAACATCTTTAGGGTTTGGAACCAAACCGACGTGAAGGAGTACCGAGCTGGCGCCAAAAAATTAACGGAACGGGTACGCCTCATGCCGTTGCAAACACGAACCGAAATCGACCGTTCACTCGCGGCATTCGTCTCTGGCTTGGAGGACGTGATCCAACAATGCGTACCAAGTCGCGATAGCTACCAGCATGAACCCCCAAAACCAACGCCTCATCCAAATGCCACCGCAACACCCAGGCTGTGGGGGATTTGGCAAACGGCGAGGTGGCCAAAAAACCGGTCCAAACCTGTCGTACAGTCTTTCACCCCGGACTTTGAGTGGGAGGGCGAGAAAGCGTCCACCGCCGAGAAAAAGGCCGACATGTTTGGTGAATCCATCTACGGCCCAGGCAAGCTCAGCAGATTGGAAGCAGTCGATCCCCTTCCAGTGGAGACATACGAAGCACCACATACATCACTTGACGAGACAGACTTCCACTTCTGCGAGGAAGGCGAGGTTGGGCGTCTCATTAGCAGCCTGCCGAAACGCAAGTCCTCGGGAAGCGATGGTATCGCAAACGAAGCGCTGAAGATGGCAAAAGACATCATCACTCCTTATTTAGAAGCGTTTTTCAAAGCGTGCGGCCAGCTAGGATACTTCCCAAAGTACCTTAAAAAGTCAAAGTCCATCCTCTTTTTCAAGGAAGGGAAAGAGGCAAACGATCCCAAGGCCTATCGCCCCATCTCGTTACTGTCAAGCATTGGAAAGCTGTTTGAAAAGATGATTGCAGACAGATTGATCAAGATACACAAAAGCTATCGTTCCAATGATCCAAGAAATCCACTGCCTTTGATGCAATTTGGCGGTCTACCTGGCAGGTCTACGACTTTGGCTTTGCAAGCCGTCACGTGTTTTGTTCAAAATACATGGAGACTCGAAAAATTGAATCGTAGACAAAAACGATACCTTCGTCGCTTCGCCAGCATTTTGGGACTTGATATCTCGGGTGCATATCCACGCGTGGACCGCGACGCACTCATCAAAGCCCTGGTGTCCAAGGGTATCCCCTTATACATCGTCAGATGCATTCATTCTTTTCTGTGTGACCGCACCACCACTCTCCTCATCCCCGGCCACGGGCCTCAAGAATTCTTTGAGAATGGGGGCCTTCCACAAGGAAGTTGCCTGTCGCCCATTTTGTTCCTCATCTTTGCCGCACCTCTCCTCGAACCCCTCGAGGGATTCGACGAGTTTCAAGTCCAGTTTCTTGCTTTTGTGGATGATACCTACATTCTGGTTGCTTCAAAAAGTCATGAGGAAAACTGTAGAATTCTGGAAGTCGCACATCAGAGGCTTATTGATTGGGCTGAAGCGCACTCTGTCAAATTCGGTCCCGAAAAATACGGCCTTATGCACTTTTTACGTCCCAAGGGGAGGAATGCCAACCAGCCACAGGTGAAGAAAAGGCCGCGCATCGAAGGTCTTCCCCCGAATAAGATTCTCTTCAAGGAGAACTGGCTCAAGATCCTCGGCGTGAAGGTCGATCACACGCTCTCATGGAAGAAACAAGTGGAGAACATCAAAGAGAAGGCCGAAAAGGCGAAGCAGCGTTTGCGATGGACGTCTTCGTCGGTGCGGGGGCACAATCTTGTTGGCATGCGTCGGATGTATCTTGGCATGGTGCAAAGCATCCTCACCTATGCCGCTCCGGTCTGGGGTTTCAGACCACGGGTTGAGAAGAGCTGTCCCCAAATCAACGCGAACCTTCTCCATGAACTGGATAAGTGGCAGCATCAGTGCCTCCTATTCATAGCGGGCGCCTTCAAAAGCACGCCTCGCATGGTCATATACAAGGAGCTCTTTGTGCACAAGCTCTCGGACGTCCTTTACTACAAGGCCCTTGAGCATTACGCACTAAATGTCTCATCGGTACACATGATGATATTCCACGGAGACCCGCAGGATGGCGAGAAAGGGGCGCTTTACGCAGTTGCCGCGGAAGCCCAGAAGCTCTTGGACCCTGCTAGGAAGCGATTTGAGAAAAGGCACGATCCAAAAAAGAAACCCGGGGCGTGGGAAGACAGCAAATACGCAGAAGATCGCAAGCAGGCTATTAAGAAGGAGGCTAAAAAACAGCTCAACGATTGTTCTGCCGCCGCCTGGAAAACCTACCAAGCCGAATTTAAATCCGACTTTAATCTGTACAACTTTGCTCTCAACGAAGACTGGGGCCCCAAGAACTTGGAACGCTATAAAAAGCTAAATCGCAAGCAGTGCACTATCTTGCTCCAGTGCCGCACAGGCTTCATCGGCCTTCAAAAGTATCTCAGCATGCGCAAGCTCGTGAGCCTGCCCAGATGTCGCCGTGGTTGTAGCGCCGACGAGACCGTTAAACACTTGTTTGAACGTTGCAGAGATCCGACGCTGGTCGAGGCCCGGATCAAGCTACAGTCGGAGACTGGGGAGAGCGATACGGGCCTACTGTTGGAAAACCATCCTGTCCAGGCGGCCAATTTTGCGATCGAGTACTTTAACCTGGACCAGTTTTCGGGACAGAAACCGCCCCCTACCAGCCAACCCTCCCAACAGGGGGGTGATGCCTCTCTGTAGGGCGTGGCCGTTGACTTGCCGTTGGTTAAGGCCCGGCCTGATTTCCACGGATTATATTGACACTGGTCTTGGGGTGAGTTGTTGCCGTTGAGGGGAAAGGCGTACGCCGCATAAAAGATAATGGTAAGATGAATAACAACTTGGTGTGGAACTTATGTATATGTGTAGGCAGAACCAAATTATCAATACAATTACCTACGATACGAATTGCGCCCCATTTTACTCATCGTTTATTTCGCGGACAAAGCTATTTGTCCCCTCCGGAAGAGGTAAAACCGCCAATACAGATTTATTTGGCAGCTTTGCCCTTGGCCTTGCTAGCCTTATCGGCCCCTTTGGTGGCCAGTGTAACAGCCTCTTCGGTGCTGCGCTTAAGCTTCGCTTTCTTAGAGGCCTTCTTCTCCAGGTCCCTCATAGCCCTGTTATTTTTCTTGATTTCCGTCAAATCAGGATTTTCAGCCTTGCGGCAGGTATCCCTTTTGCTGCGGAGGGCTTCCAATCCGCCATCGGTTGTGGTTGCGTTGCCCTCTTGGCCTTGTTAGCTTTGACCCCCTGAAGGTTGCAATAGGCAACCTACTTGTAAGTTAACGTGTGACCCCATTTGGTACCCCATCTGTTAACATGTTCCCAGGTGTTGGGCTTGTAAGTTCAAGACTCCTTCCACTCCAGCTGAATTATTGTCTCACTCTTGATGCGGCGTCGCTGATAGTGCGTTGGGTAGCTTGGCACCTTTGGTGAGTTTAATCATCGGCCACGTCGCTTGTAGCGTAGCTCTTGCGCCGACGACCTGCCATCAAATCAAGTTTATAGCCGGCAAGGCTAACAGTTCAAGGAGCCCATGTTGTTGGTGAGCCGGTCCAGTCAATCTTGTTCTGCAAGGGCTCACGTTGACAGGTCTGTCTTTGGTGTACAATAGTTTGTAGATAGCTGTGGCGGATGTCAGCAAGGTAAGCCCTTCTCCCTAAACATGTCGCGCAAAGAAATAGTCTATTAACAGCCTAGGGAGCGGTTGTAGTGCTTGTGGGAGATGTGTGTGTGTAGGAGCAGGGACTCACGATTGGTTGTGTTGGTACTGTCAATCTTAGCATCCGCCGATGACAGATTTTTTGCTGATACTAATGTGCAGTTGTGGCAGGGTCTCGACAGCAGAAGAGTATGTTATGTTTCTATACCCCTTGTACTTGATGGGCCACTAAATTTCACCGTTGACATAGGGCAGATGACTTGGATGGAGAGGAACAGGATCGACTGGGAATGCGGGCGAGGTGGGTCAAGATTTTGTTTCCCCTTGAGATGTTACATGCGCTTATCTCGGTTCAGGGCAGACCTCGCAGATATACTGCGTGTGTGGGCATTTTAGGTTTTCGGCGTGACTCGGCGTGAGTCACGGGCGCGAAGTCAGTAGGTTTATGGCAAGTTAATAGTGATTTTATTTGTGATACGGATTATTAATTTCTAACCAGCTACAACATATAAGGTTTGCCTCTATGATGACGGTGGTTGAGGCTATCGCGAGATGGCCTTGGCTAGCGGCCGCGGCGCGGCACCAATTGCGCTGGTACGTCTGACGCGTCACGATGCGTGTACGTATGTGTCACATAACCTTTTAATTCTAAAGTCAAGTACTAATAGCTCTTAGAGACGGTCTACTTTTCTAGTCTCTTACTGTCCTTGGCCTGGTACAGCCCAATACTGTTTTAGATTTTACGCTTGCACGATACTTGTATCATGCGTGTAATTTCATTTGACTACAGAGCGAAACAATTGAAAATTAATATCAAAGTAGGCGTTGTACCACGCTGAAAACGTTGGTGGGTTTATTCGTCATTCCTTGAGCCGCTCCCAGCAGCCCGACATTGTATCACTAATAATACGATTTCAGTCCCTCGCGCCCCTGGGCTCTATATAATCCTTCGTTTATGGGAGCACGGGTTCATGTTGAGCACCCTCGCCACAGGCGAGGGTGCTCAACATCAGCCTACCGAGACAGACCCTTGCGGATTTTTGTATGGTAATCTCGCCGAGGTGTCTGTACGATCGCGCCTTGGTGAAAACCCGGGCAAGTCGTCAAATCGGTTATATGAATTGAAGCTATATGAAGGCGAAAATACATGGATTTTTACGTTATTTTCAAGTTATAAATAGCTCTACATTTTACGACAAAGGTCATCTTGACACTGGCGGTTGATTAGGTCCAGCCACAGTTGAACGTGGTGATTACGCCAGATGGGTGTGCCAAACAAACCCTCTAGGAGTTTATTTTTTACTATCTCTTTAGTTGCGAAGTGCGTCGCAGAGATTCTCTGCCGTCTGGTACAATTCTCTTGGGTAAGCGGGTCCCTACGAGCCATTTCGCAGCTAAAGAGATAGTGCGAAGAGCCTAGGGACGAGTCAAACGAAAAAAAAAAAAATGCAACCCTGCCTTGAACCGTCCTGTGTGCATGTTTGCTTATGTCAAGTGTAGTTGGCACCAGTGGTGGGCCACTGCGAGACCTTGGTACCGTGTTGAAAATCCAGTATGGTGTCGGCACCGCAAAAAGCTATGGCACGGTGCCATAATTTTACACGGTGGAGGTATGGTGCCGGCTGGGTGCAGGCAAGGTGCCGGCATGGTGCCAAAAAGGTGCCAAAAGGTGCCAAAGGCCGCCACACACGCTAAAAAAAACACACCTAATGCCGCACATCGCAAATTTACAGCTATTGATCAGTCAATAGTTAATTTTATAGGGCATTTTCACGTAAAGTCAAAAAGGCATTTACGGGGATTAAATTCACGACATCAATTATAGATTACAGATCAAGCATTAGATATAACCACTACGGCAGTTACGATCAATTGACCAAGGTGCCTGTAATTGATATTATATGGAAGCTACCGGCCCTGAATTTTGGGCACCTTTTGGCACTAGCTTTAGCACCTTTTGGCACCTTTGGCACCCCACCGGCACCGCTCCAGGTCCCTATAGAGCCCCACGACTGACGTCTCAAGCAGGAATTCCTCGCATGTGCAAGCCACGTCGTCCAGTTGGTGCACGCACACCAGACACCACATCGGGCTGTGACTCACTTCGCCGGACTGGTCAATGGTTCAACTTTATTTTTTTGGTCCCCACACCTGTGGCCTGCACTTCTTGCCATCAATCGACGCATATATACTACACAAGCCGCCAGCCTACCTCTTCTTGCGCTGTTTGCAATGCTTTATCCATGTCTGGCCTTTCCTCCCTCGCACATCTTTTCCGCCATCACCCCAGGTCCTTCTTGTTCTGAGCCATTACCAACGTATCCCGACCGGCCGCTGCTGCCCCTGCCGCCATGGCGCCCGCTTCGCAGCTGCATTTCCTCGATCTGCCGTCCGAGATCCGACACGCCGTCTACAATGCCTACGTCGACGTAGATGGAGGCTACGTCGTCAATCCCCGAACCAATAAGCTTGTCGCTGCGACCGGTAATCAGAAGCACGACTATGCCCTGCAGCTCACATGCAAGCAGATTGCTCACGAGATGAGCGGCCTCGCGCTTCGTCGCAATACGGTGCACTTTAAAGTAGAATATTCAGACGAGGAGCGCATCTCAGCCGCTCGTTTTGACGCGACAATGGACATCTCCCTAGTCCGCCTCATTGACTTTCTTACACCTTACGATGACGGTAGCCTTGACTTCACGCCCGATATAATGGATGAGGTTGCCAGGGAATTTCCTCCAATGCGACCAGTTTTTGATGCCATTTCCCTAGTCCCCGAGACGTTCGGCAACATTGACATGTGCGCCTCGGAGGAATTTGGCATTCCTCTCTCCGTCCTCCTCAGGGCGGGGTGGCGTACCTTTGGACTCGCACTCAAGCATGGCTCAATTCCAAAGACTTATTCCATGCTTTCTTACTCTGATGCAAAGAAGGCATACGCAACGTCTCAAGAGTTTTTGCCCTGGCATTATAATCCATCCAGAAAAGACTTTGCAAGAATGTTCGGTAAGGCCAGGATGTTTCGAGGCCAAGGTTACCGCTACTGGCTAAAGCCTCACATCCATAGTGACGGCGACCGGCAGTTTACCCATGGAAAATTCAGCTTCTCTGCTGCATCCAAGGCTATACGATTTCTTTCCGAGTGTCCGGAACAGGTTAGAATGCAACTCAGACGCATCTGCCTTCATGAGACTGCTACTAGTGTTGCATTCCCTGAATGCCATGCCCTAGGACTGATCCCCTTTTGCCAAGAAAACCCTTGCCTTTATATCGAGCGTCGTGTCAATCTATGGAGAACTCTTTTACAAACACCCATGGATTACTACATTTTGCGGTGGCGTCCCGAGGTTTACTTGGTATACAATGAAGATCACGCCAAAGATGGTGAAGAGTCTGCAAATGGTGCGAGGCTTAGCAGTGAGAGAATATCGCTCATGTTTGCTCATTGGGCCATGGAAGCGCTGGAACTGCTCCGTTCGGGGATGCCACGACGCTGCTTTAAATTGGTCATTGACGGAGACCCTGCACCGCAGCTAGCCACTCGCTTGTTTCGAGACATAATCCAGCGAGATGCGACTTGGCAGAGGGTAATCGAGGTTGCAAACAGTGCACTGCGAAGCGAACACCCCACGGAAAAGAGCATACCCTTTTACTTGAGTCATTCTCCAGCGTGTAAGTGTACGGTTGATGGATGCTAGTGGCAGGCTTCACTGACACCAGGTACAGATTTTTTCGACGGCTTTTCAGATATGGTAGATGCTGTAGCGGGCAAAAAGCATGAGCTCATCGAGTGTGCCTTCGAAACAGGGCCCAGCCCTTGGGACGTGACAGCTTTTTCCAGGCAATTTCGCTATTTTCCACCTGGCCTAGAAAGGTTTGACGAAATCTGCGATGCATACAAGGGCCAGCCTCTCCAATACTTCGATATGCCGCATCCATTGCCATCGTGGATTGATCTTTTGGCAGAGAACATTTTGCCCGAGTACTTTGATTATCCGGATGAAGAAGTGAAGCGAGTTGATACCATCCATCTATA